GTGTGTGTGTGTGTGTCTGTGTGTGTGTCTGTGTGTCTGTGTATATTGATCATCTATATAATGAAGGATCTATCGACAGAACACAATAATGATTTTCAATCATCCAAAACAGTAGTTAAGTGTAAAAAGTAGATTGTGTATTAGAAATATTTAATCAGTTATGGATAAATAAAGCTATAATTATGAATAATATTATGTATTATGAATTATATCAATGAAATAGGTTTGAATTTGGTTTTTGTATGTTTATTTGGCAGGGATGTGTTTCTTGAGAAACCAGGAGTACTTTGTAACAGCATTGTGGCTATGAATCATGGTGTCCAAATATATATCCAAAATGTTGAACTTTTAACATCCAACTTGTTAGTAAAGTCTTGTATAGATGAGTGTGGATATTTCCTTTTCCCCTATCTCCCCTCTCAATGCTTTCACTTCTGCTCTCTTGAAAGAAAGAACATCTCATTGGAAATAATAGGTTATATGACAATAATAGGAATCTGTGGGCCAGGCATGGTGGTATACTCCTGTAATCCCAGCAGCTCAGGAGACTAAGGCAGGAGAATTGAAGTTCAAAGCCAGCCTCAGCAATTTAGCAAGGCTCTAAGCAACTTAGTGACACCCTGTCTCAGAATTAAAAAAATGAAGTCTGGGGGTATGGATCAGTGGTTAAGCACCCCCAGGTATAATCCCCAGTACCAATAAAATAAAATAAAATAATCAGTGAATAGTGAATAGATAAGAACCATCTAGCAAGATTAGATCCTGTAATAGTGGTTAAGAGACCAGGGAGAATATGCAATGGCCTAGACAGACTAATGCTGTTTCTTCCATGTTCTGGAGAATAGGAATAGAAAGGATAAGATTAATCTGGAAAATCCACTACCACAAAAGTTTTTACCTAAAGTCATGAGGACACAATCAGAGGCCCTCATTCTAGTCCAGAAAGGGAGCATTATGTAAATGGATAATGTTGACCTTATATGCTCCAAATTTACAAGTGTATCTAAGAAAAATAGAGGCTCTCAAAAACATCACCATTTAGAAATTGTTTTAAAATTGAGGATGTGATTTTATATATTTATAAGAATTTGACTCTCAGTCTTATTTGAATTTTTATACTGTACAAAATTATCTGAGAAGCAACCAAATGGAACAGTGGGAGGTTACTTGGATATCTGAATTTTATTAAGCATGAAAATTCTATTTTTATTTTCAAAGATAATCAGAGCACGTTGATTGTTCTAATTTTCTATTTATTTCTTCTTGAAAATATTCAGAGAAGCATTTTCTCTCCTACCACTACAAACATGCAATCAATTCTTAAGGTATCCAGAAAGCTCTGATTAGGCATTTATTGTGTTTCCCACATCTTAAGATGTTCCTTTTTTTTTTCTTTTTACCTACATACGAATAATTTTTCAGAATATAAAGTATTTTAATATAAATTATATCATATTAGTGACTGTGAGAGACTCCCAAATTTTAAAAGATGTTGGAGAGTAACCTGTAGATTATTATCTTTTAAAATTTCTGTCACTCAACAGATTATGCAGATTTGGTGCCACAGGAAATATAATGTCATTTCTATTACCAATCTCCTTAGTGTTTATTTATAAATGATGGACAATGAAATTAGCTTACTTAAAGTACATTAACTATAATAAAGATATTGTTTTACATTCTAGTCTTTCAATAAGTCAAATCAGAATTGAATCTTAGTTATTCTCTGGTAGTCTTAAAATACAAAAGATAAAAAAAGTAAAACTAAATTCAGCACACAGCAAGAGCCAATTTTTTGTATTGGAAAGAACATTGGTTGAGAGTCAGTCAGACCTACGTTCTGTGCAGACATCAGTTAGTGTTAGAAAAAGCCTCAATATTTTCTTATTTGCTTTTAGTGGGTTTTTTTACGTATTAATATTGAAATGCTCAGATGATTTATTTTTAGAAGTGCTAAGTTTGTAAAAGAGAAGATGATAATAGCATGAATGCATAACAGAATCAAAACTAGGCAATTGCTTAAGAGTTTCAGCTATGACCAGTTGAATTCTGGGACAGATTACACAAGTGTTCAACAGTTTCCTGCAGAACATCTTGGTTGGAAATCATACATATGAACACAAGTGAACTGGAAAGTATCAGTGCGGCCTCAAGTTATATTCTTGATGCACACTCCTAAGCAGCCATATTTTCAAGTAGAAAATTAAAGATTATATAACTATATCTAAAAAGAAATCTTACAAAACCAATCAAAACAGCAAAGAATTTGCTATGACCAGCTTTCCTATCACTAAGTATATAGAATTTGGCAAAGCTCAGGGTTTAGAAGACTTTTCACATTCTCTTTAATGAAGATATCACTTGTTTCAGGGATCTGTATGTTAGAGATCTAAAGGTAGAAATGAGGAAGAAAATGTTTTGTCATTATGTTTCCTATGCAGTTTGGACTTATGACCATGAGAAAATGGCTAAAGTTACATGAAATATTGATGGTGATAGATGAAAAAACATGAGAAGATGTATGGCATGAGAAATAAAAGAAGTATGGATTCCTGGTTAATAGTCTCAATAGAGATTCAGGAATATATATATATATATATATATATATATATATATATATATATATATATATATAAAATCTTGGCATATATACACAAATCTTTAAGTTTATAGGGCATTTGGTGGTTGGTAAGTGTAAAGGCTAATTTTATGTCAACTTGAGTGGTCTAGGGGATACCAGATAAAAGGTTGCTTCACTATGTCTTTGAGGTGTAATCCTGCTTCCAGATGAGATTAGCATTTGAGTAGATAAATTTAGTAGATTAGATAGCCCTCCTCCTTGTGATGGTCATCATCCAATCCTTTGAAGAACTGAATAGAACAAAATATGGAGGAAGGAAGAATTCACTCATTTTCTTCTTCCTACCTCACTATTGGGCTAAAGCATTCCATTTCTTCTCCTGACTTCAGACTTGGATTTACATCCTCAGTTCTTCTGATTCTCCAGTTTGCAGATAAGATATCTTGAGATTTCTCAACTCACATAATCCCTTGAGCCAACTCCTCATAATAAATTTCTTTCTGTTTATCTATCTACCTACATACCTACCTACCTACCCACCTACCTACCTAATCTGTCTCCTATTGACTCGATTTCATTGAAGAACCCTAATATGATAAGAAGCTGAGAAAATGAGATTATAGTGCGAGAACAGTTTGAGACCTAGAAAAATAAAATCCTTAAGAAATCTCACCTTTGGTCTAGGATGGTACTAATGACCAGTAGAATTCTAGTTTTAAAATAGAGAGGCATGGAACTATGTTTAGACACTACAGAGTATATTGGATGGAATTTGATATTGAGTTAGGGTACTGACAACTTCGGCTTTACTGTTATTGCAGGTGAAGTTCTTCGGCCACTTTGGGGGTTAAATTGTATTTTTACAGCCTATTGTATTACCTTCAAATTGAAAAATACAATGTTCTTTGCCGCCTCTTTTTTGTTTTTCTAACTTCAATAAGTATAAGCTTCTGATTGAACTGTTCAACTATTTTGAACAATCTTAGCTATTTTTAAAAGCTTTATTAGTCTCCATTCTTCCCATGAGCTTCCCTTATTTGAATAAGTACATCATCATAATTCCACATGATTTTTTTAAAGTTTCAAATTTTTAAGTAAAACTACATGATTGTTATTTTGTGATGTAAATTAAAGCTATAATCTTTTTCAATTGCATTTTTGTTTTTATTATGTAAAAATTCGATAGCTTTGTTGAATACAAGTAGTTTGTAAAACTTGCATCCTCAGTCTTCTCATTTTATTCATGTTTCCTTCTTTAATTTCTCTGATCTATATAAACAATAATTATGTACCTTAGGCAAAAATATTTCTAAATTCCCTCAAACTGTCTACTTGACCCAAAATATTCTATTAGTCTTGAACCAGTTTTTAATTATATTGATATCTTTCCCAAATTTTAAATTCACTTGGGACATTTATTTATTTAAACATAAAGATTATCAGAGCTCTTCAGAGTTCAACTCCCTATGTAATTCTTTGGACAAGCCAAATTTGGGAAATTTTACTCCACATATCATTGTCTTATATTGCAGCTAAAAATAAAAGAAACTAGGAAGATACTCTTTACATTTGAAGAATCAATTTTATCAACAGTATTTGGAGACTTTGCTTTCACATAAATTTACTCCAGTAGTAAATCTGATTGAGAATAACTTTCTATGAAATTTATGATATTGCTTTACTTAGTAAGTACTGGTGGGACATTAATCTAAAATATTTAGTAACTAGGAATCTCTGGTGTTAAGAGTGATTATAGTGATGAATTCTAGTTGCAAGAACTTAGTATTGAGAAACGTGCTTCATGAGAATGTGCAGAAAACTTTTGATAACTTTCATTTAAAGATATTAATCATAAGATATTCCTAAAGAATTTTCTGGTATCTAAAATGCTTCCACTCACAACATTATTCACTGCCACCAAAGTTAATGGCACATCCCTGCTACCTATTACAAAGGTAACACTCCATAAGAATGTCAGATAATCTCAAGGTATCCTCAGAATATATGGCCATATGCTAGAACATGGTATAACACAATAGTCCTATTTGTCCCCTTATACAACAAGAAGGCATACATAGACTCATGCAATGTCACAAGAATTCTTTTTTTTATCATTGTGATATGTCTCTTTTAAGAAAATTACTTTTTTTTTAAGAAAATTACACACTAAATGACTTTTTATGTCACAGTTAAACTTTAAGAAATCTGTCATAATGTGCCATAAAAGGAGTTTATGATGTTTGCCTCATACTAAAAGTGGATTCATTGTTATCAATCTTGTTGAGTTTAGAAAGAAAATTAGAACAGGTGCTTTTAAGAGCAGTTCCAAGTAGAAGATGATGCTACTTCGCTTGTCATTTTCTTATAGTCTTAAGTCTACTTGCCATAACCTTGAGAGCAAGAATTCTTACCATTTTAGCCCCATTTCAGAATCAGAAAATAAGAGATCCTCTCTCCAGAAAGATGCACAGATGACCAGAAGGATCAAAGTTTGTCTGCAGTATTTACAGCAACCATCCAACCCCTGCTGAGCCAAGGATCATGAATAAGCAGTTAAACCTCTTCATTTCAGAAGAAGCAAAGAAGGTTGCCCCTGTGAGTTTTGATTGCAATTAAAAGACCCATTATTTTTATAATCTTGACTTTGTTTATATAGAGGCCAATAAAGTGTAGTGTAAGTGATAAACGCTTAGTAGAACTACTTTTGATTTTTCTAGGGAAAGTTAACTTTAGTTTGTCATTCTATGTACCCCTGTCTCCACCTCATGCTGTATATTGTTTTTAATCAGCTTTTACACTGTTGTGACTAAAAGATCTGACCAGAACAATTTTAGTGGAGGAAAAGTTTATTTGGGGGCAATAGACAGCAGGCTCCATTCCTTGGGGCTTGAGGTGAGGCAGGACGTAATGTCATAAGATTGAGGCAAAGAGAAGCAGCTAACATGGTGATCAGGAAGCATAAAGAGAAGAGACTCCACTCTCCAGATACAAAATATGTACCTCATAGTTACACCCCCAGTGAACCACTTCCTCCAGCCACACATATCCCACGTGCCTCCAGTCACCATTCAGTTAATCTCATCAGGGATTTTTTTTTCTGATTAGGTTAAGGCTATAACTCAACCATTTCTCCTCTGAAACTTCTTACATTGTCTCACACATGAACTTTTGGGAGATAACTCACATCTAAACCATAACATATTTGAAATGATAGAATTATATACAAAAAGAAAACTATTTATCTAGCATTGAGTTTGAAGTGGCAAAAAGATTAAATCCCCCACATTACCATACCTAGAAAGGATAATGATAAAAGAAACAGCTTTTAAAGAGCATAAGATCGTATTGTTTTACCCAGTGGAATACCAGTTTCCAACTCCAATGTGAAAAGAAGTTCCTTCTCTCAGGAAAAATAATTACAAAGTGAAATATATGTACAAATACTGAACACTGAGAGCATTGAAAATAAATTGGAAGTGGGACAGAGAACTCAGGTTAAATCATTCACATATTGAAAAAATTTATTGAGCAAATAAACTATTTATATATAAGAACTTCTGCACCATATGTAAAGAAAGTAACCATTAGGTTGGATGATTTGCTCCTGTTATGTATTTTCAAA